AGGAATTGTCACAGCCTTTTTAGGTACTGCTTTGCTCTTCTCAGGAGCTATCTAGATTTTTTTTGGTACTGGTTTAGCCTTAGCAGGCTCTTTAGGCTTTCCTTTTCCTTTTGTAGGAATTTTATAACGATAACCACCTATTGAACCACCTGTATCTAATTATTACAGAGAAATAACAAAAATTACAAATTCAGAAATTACTCATGGAAAAATTTAGAATAATGTGCATAAATGACCCTTTTAAATGCATAAAGTGACCCTTTTAACAACACAAAGTGACCCCTTTAACAGAACAAAGTGAACCTTTTAACAGCATAAAGTGACCCTTTTAACAGCAAAAAGTGACCTTTTATATGCATAAAGTGACCCTTTTAACAGCATAAAGTAACCCTTTTAAACACAACAAGTAACCCTTTTAACTGAAAAAGTTACTCATGTAACAACATACAGTGACCCTTTAACAACATAAAGTCACCCTTTTAACATCATAAAGTGAACATTGTCAAAGCATATAAATGACACATATGTCTATTACTTAAACACAATGAGCAATGCACATATGCATGTTAATCAAACACAGATGCACAAACACAATGCAGATATGCCTACTATACTCATAATCTAACTAAAACATAAAACCTAAACCAATAATCAGTTTAATTAGCATTCTTTGACTAAAACCTAACATACAAAATTTGAAGAATAATAAGAAATGAATAAAAGTTCTGAAAACAAACATGCAAAATTTGTTTCACATATAACAACACCACAACACATGTATAACAAAATTTTGGACCAATTATATACAATGAACAATAAAATAAAGCAAAATTAAACATAATAACTTCAAAATTCAAATTCAATTATCATAATATGCATAAAAAATCAACTGAAAACTATAAAAAATAACATGCACTACTAATTCGACATATATAAGCGAAAGTTCAATTGAAAAATTTGAAAAAATGATCAAAAATTTAAGTAAACACACCTTCTTCAGCATTTACAACCTTCTTTCTAATCTTCTTCTTCACCATTGCAGAATCAAACACTACGAAAATCGAAAACAAAATCAAAATCAAAAAACCTAAAAATCGAAGAATCGAAACAATTTAAACTAACAAAAATCTCAAAAAAAAAAAAAGTAAACGAACCTGAATTTAGCAAATAACAACTTCACAAGTGAAAGAGAAGAGAGAAAAAGCTCGAAAATCAACAATGGAGGAGAGAGAAAACGCTCGAAATCGCAAGTTTTAGAGAGAGAAATCGCCAATTTAGAGGAAAAACGAGGAGAGAGAAAGAAGCTGGTGAGTGAATGAATGAGGAAGAGAGATAAAGTGCTTTTTGTTGGCAGTTGTTTTCCCCCTTCATTTTCGCAATCATGAGTTTGCACGTGCGGGACCACTTAATTGGCAGTTGTTGGTTTCCACAACTTCCGCCATTCACTAATTTATTGAACACTGGCTTTAAATAAACATTTGTGATAGAGGTCATATCTCCCCCTTTTCAATCATCAACTCTCATAAATTCTCCATCTAATTATCATCAACTCTCATCAAGAATTTCTTGATTCTCTCTCTCTCTTTCTAGCCTAGCCTTTTTACAAACAAAATTCCGCATTCACAAGATCTAGACACACCTAGCCCAATTCGAAGTTGCCTTCGCCCTAGACGTGAAAGGTTTGATATTTCTGAGGGCTTGGTCCTAAATCCAGTCTAAACTTTTTAATCTTTATTTCAATTATTTGATTTAATTGTTTAATTTTATTATTTTACTTGAAGTTACTAACGTGTGTATTTTGTTATTAGAAAGAGATACGAGGCATCCAAGTAAGTGCTTTAATTGTTTAATTGATATTATGATATAGAAATCATGTTTATGTTATATTTTGATTCCTAGTATCATGTTATGATGCTTTTCTTAGTATAATGTTTAGGGTAAGAATAAGTGTCTTAAATATATCAATTATGATTCATGTGATGTTTCCTATTTCTTTCTTAATATCATGTTAGTGTCATGTTAGGGCTAATTGATCTTTTATAGCTTAGTGACATGTTAGGGTTTGTTATTAATCTTGTTAGTATCATGCCTAGGATCTTGCTATTATTATGCTTTATTGTTAACATGATTATTTTTTTTTTTATAATTGTTATTATAATTATTATTATGGTTATGATTATGATTATGTTGCTTGATATTATATTTATTGTTATTGTTTGATTACGCCTTTTATGCATGTTTAAAGGGAATTGGTACTTGAAATCACGCTTAATAAGATAATTAATAATCTTATTTAGGGTTAATTTGGTTATTATTCAAATGATCGCCAATAATAGATTTATTTGTGCATTAATATTCAACCAACATAGATAAACAGGTTTAGGGTAAACCTATTGATTGCATGTTAGTCAGAAAGCGTACATGAATATGAGAAGAATAAAGTAGAGGCCTATTATTAGGGCAAGTTCAATATCTTTTAGGTTGGATTTATACCTTCATCCTCGAACTTCCAGTCATGGTTCAAGACCTTATGGAGTTGACGATCTCTTGGATCGTTAAGGGGTGTAACCTACACCCTGTGAACGGCTTACAAGTTCCTAAAACTTGGTGGTGACTCTTTTGCTCTAGCTTTCTTCCCTTTGGACGCCACCATGCTTAAGTGTATGATCACAGTGGGATTCAATTTTGGGGTAATGCTTGAAATATTCCCTACACCCGAAATCACGATGAATCAATTCAAAAAAACGACTGTCTTTGCTATCACTATTAGGAAAACTATCCCTAGACTGTTTAGCTTGATCGAGGACACACATCGCAAGCTTTATTCCAAATTGTCTTAGTAGTACTATTACGAACAGCATGAACGAACTAACTTGACAACTCTATCCGACGGATGCCCAAGTCTTCTATGCCATTGCTCGAAATCTGACAATTTCGGAACTTGCACCGCACATACTGTAGGAATTCGCCGAAAATAATAGAGTTTGTCCTTCCATTCACCGGCTCCAATCAGGCTCCCCGAATGTTAGTCCTGTATTGCACATATATAATTAGTGAAATGAGCAAAGCAATATATTTGAATCATCAATCATCTTTAACACCGATATTAAATTGCATTTTGATTTAAGAACAAATAAAACATGTTCCAAGATTAAGTCATTGCTCAACCGAACACGACCCTCTTTCAAGGCCACGACTTGGTCTCCATTAGGAAGACCCACGGGACACTGCAAAATTGAACAAATATCCAATAAGCATGATTCATCTCCAGTCACATGATGAGAGGCCCCCGTATCTATAATCCAAGAACCCGACACACACTCACCTTGCATCCGTTCTTGTTGATGGTTATTAACCATGTTTAATAGAAAACGAACATCGGAAGGCTTAAGGTTGGCAAAAAACACATCACCTTCGGCAGCTTGTGCAAAACCCGTGAGAGCATTGGCACGAGCAGGGGCAGCAGGTGGCTTCGGCACAGGGGCAGCCTTCGACGAGCTAGTAGCCCTCTTCTCTCTCCCTTTGTCCTTCCCCTTGAGATCGAACCACCATTCGGGATACCCATGAAGCTCGAAACAACCATCAATTTCATGTCCTGATTTTTTTACAGTGAGTATAGTATAATTTTGACTTGTCTTGACGATCAAAATTCTCTTTCCGACGGATTGACGGTACAGCAAAAACATAGGCCTCCTTTGATTTCTCCTTCTCGGCCTTCCCCTTAGCAATGCCACAAGACTCCTCTTGAAGGAGAACTTGATAAGCACAGTTCAATTCTGCAGGGGATTGTTGGGAAAGCAAGTTCGTCCTCATCGTAGCGTATAGGTCATCATCAATACCAATTAAAAATTGGTGTAAAATCTCCTCTTCTCTGTCCAAGGCAAATTTTCCAGCCACATCACACGTGCAATGACCACACTCGCAGCAATGGAGGGGTTTGATTCTCGTGAGTTCGTCAAATAATCCCAGCAATTTCGTGTAATAGTCTTCAACACTCAAGCCTTTGAGTTGTTTGCAATCAGTAATCTTTGCTCGCCATTGTTGCAAGCAAGGTCCATTCGAAACACTGCACAATAGCGTTTCTCTAAATATCCCAAAGACATTTCGCCTCCTCAAAGTAAGGAATTGATGCCGCAACTTTGGAGTCCATATACAGCAATAACCAGGAAACGAGCATCGAATTGACAATCTCCCAATCAAGTAGCTTCTTCTTCTCAGTAGACTTGGTGATGGTTCAATCAACAAACACAAATTTACGACGAGATCGCAAAGACAAGTAATAGCCCTCGACCATGCCAAGTTATTATCTTCTTTCAAGATTACATGAGTAATCAAGTTTCCCGGCTGATCATCGGCGCCAAGGTAAAACGGTGAAGCAGGATCAATTTTCCCGTCGTCACCCATTGATGATGATGATTAAGCATTTCATGAACAAAGTCATACGTTTCAGCGTGTTGCAGCTATTCTTACATGCATGAGGATGCATGTAAACAATCTAGGATAGTCCCTTGATCGGTTGATCCCTTCATAAGCGATTCTCATCTACTACTAAGGTGGTATCAGTCCTAAAAGCTTTCTATCGAATTATTTATCTCAAATGTAAAAAGTTGTGTTTTTTTTTTCGAATTGTCATCATATCTAGCAAATTCAATTGCCTCTGCTCTCAAGTCTCAAGACTCTCAACTATAAAAGATGGTTTTAAAGCTTTCACAAAAGACTTGATAACAAGTTTTTGAATCTACCAATGAAGTAGTAAAACACTATTAGACTGCTCTACAACATTTTTGGTCACTTCATCCTTAAATCTAGCATTCAAATCCATCACAAAAACTAGCCTACAAGATTTATCATTGGTAGGAACTAGAACCTCGTTTTTCAGCTTCCCTATCATACACAACGAAGCTAAATCAACCTTTTGCGATCAGGTTTTTGCATAAAACATTGTATTTGCAACATTTGTTAATCCAAATCATAATATCAATGCCATCAATTTCAAGAAATTCGAGTTTGGGAATATAATCTAATAGTCAGGTGAATTGAACCCTTCTACATCTGCTTGTTTCTTGCAGATTTTGAGCTATGCCAATAGAAATACTTCAAATCTCTTTTACTACTCTTCAAAATAGTATTGGCTTGCTTTTTTTTTTTTTTTTTTTTTTTTTTTTTTTTTTTTTTTTTTTTTTTTTTTTTTTTTTTTTTTTTCTCCAGCCAAACTATCTTCGAACTGCTTGTTTTAAGCATCTTGCTTTTGAGCTTTACCTTCCAACCACAACTCGCTTTGATTTGGCAATCCATAGTCACTGCAGTTCTTGTGGATACCAACTTGAATCAATTTCAATGAGCAGTTCCAAAAAGAGCAGTTCTTTATCACTGATACAATAATTGGAGACTACTTATATAATCAACAACAGAGAGAATTGGAGAGTAAGAGAGCTTTAGACATAACATATCTTGAATAAATCCAATTGTTGTATCATTTAATACACAACTAGTTTAACGGTTAACCAGAATCTATCACTCATAACAAATAATTGATTCTAGCAAACTCCCTAGGCGGCTTATCGCCAACAAAATTTATAATTCAATCTGGCATAGGAATGACTAAAAACAGAATTCTGATATTGGCACCAAAAGTAGTCTACAATCTTAATTACAATTTGTAACAAGACTAGCAGACACACATCAACTTGCATTGGCCGAACCTATGCAAGCGTACTTGCACAGGTTGCTGCTTGCTCAGATCACAATTAAGAGATCTTTCATACAGAGGGTATGACAAACGTAAACTAGCTGGTACACCCTTATGATCATTCCACCTTTGCGAATCCAACTTCAATAATGAAATTCTAAAGGAAAAAGGAAAAATAAGTGGATGAATTACTTTGTAACTTGGACATACAATATCAGGTGTGTTTATTTCAAAATAAAATGATATTCAAAGAATCCTACTTCAATGATGTTACAGCTTTCCAGACAAAATATTTACTTCACAACATCCAAGTCAAATATGAATATAACAAGCAGCAGAGTATGAACTATGAAGAGAACTTGGAGAAGATAATTACACACAGGATGAAAAGTAAATCAGAGCATCACCGATTCAAAGGCTATTCACTGTTCCATCTCCTTAGGAGTGAAGTATCTCCAGATTCCCGCCAAAGCACTGCCTATAATTGAGTGACAAACACTAGAGACAGCACAAGGAACTGCAGTCAATGGATTCCCAAAATGCTGATTTGCAAGCACTAGTCCAAGAACCGAATTCTGAAAAAAAGTTCATGATTAGCTCAGTACATGTCCATGCTATGGAATCAGACAAAAGACTCAGTATGCATTGTGCGTAGAAAGGCTAAAGGTTTTTAATTTCTTATAACTACTACCAAATTAACTACAATCTTTAAAGTGATCAGATTTTGACTCAATTAGAGATACAAGTTAATCCAAGATATAAGAGTATTATTGAAGAAAACCAACTATCAAAATATTTTGCTCTATATGCCAAGGAGTTTCGCTAGGGAAGCCTGCAATGGAAATATTAAAGCATTTGGGAGAGTCAATCACTATTTTCATTTAGCCACCTAAGGCATTATAAACAATTTATCTTAACGGTATTATGCAGTGAAACAAGCAATGGTACTGAAGTTAATTAACATACCATTACTTTACAAGTATAATGTCTTAGAAACAGCATTTCTACAGAGAATTCTACAAAAAGCTTAAGAAAAAAAAAACACTTTGCAGTTGCTTGCTGATAACCTCAATAGGTTATAATTTTATGCAGAGTAAGCATCTCCAAAATATTAATTCTTACCTGCATTCCAACCTCTATTGATATGGTCCTAGCTGAAGTTATATCAATTCCAAGCAACCTTGCAAGCATGTAACCAAAGAAAAATCCAGATGAATGAAGTAGACAACAAGCTATCACAACTTGCACACCAGACATCAAGATTGCAGAAGAACTCTGAGCAATTGCATGTCCGCAAAGAAGACCCACAGTCCCCACAGCAAGGGGTGGCATCAAAGGAGAAACAAATTTTACAAGGCCCTGGAAATACTGATTTAAAAACGCGCCAGCTAACACAGGAAGCAACACAACCTGCAAATCTAAGAGTTAGAATTTCGAAAGACACCAGAGCAATTACATGGTAAGAATTGAGCTAAGAACATAAGCACAAACCTGTAGCGTTGACATCAAAAGTCCAGCGGCATCAACTGCAACATATTGCCCAGCAAGTTTAGCAGTGAGGTAGGGAGTCATGACCTGCAATATGATGCTTAGAAAACTTCATTGACACCAGTGAATTTAGCTTCAAGGCAGGAATACAGCTCTAGTGTTAAGAACAGTTCCAAATAATTCATTCTAGTAATAGATTGTTCTGCTAACAGCTAACATAGACATGAGCACAAGCAAACCTCAGAAAATTCTCAAGTTACCCAGAACATTGACATAACCAAGCAAAAAGAGAAAAACATGTTCAGCATTTGATACTAGATTTCCAATAGAATGCCTTTTGCAGTTTTGCACCTACAACTAGCATGTCCTTTACACTCAAAGAGTCATTAAAAGTCAAAGAGGTCAGGTAAGGAACACAGAAAGGAAGAGCAGGACACAAAATCCAACACTTCTAACCTTTAAAAAAAAAAAAAAGGTACCACCCATAGCAGAGAGAAAAAGAATATTGAGTTGACTTTTCTAGAATTAAGAGTTCAAAGCTCAAGAAAAGCACTGTATCAAACTGAATAAGGAAGAAACCAGAGATGTGCTGAACTATTGGTTGATTACAGACTAGTAGCAACCAAGACAGCCTTGGCAAGTTGCATGAAGATGCATGAAACAGTCTGCAAAGAGGAGCAAAAGAATGAAACTGCTAACAGTGCCTAGGTGAGTAATTTCAAAAGATGTTAATTTTTTAAATAAAAGGCGGGGGATCAACAAAACAATTCCCCCCCCCCCCAAGTCTTATATTATTTTGCGTACCAGAGAGATTAAAAATAGTGAATAGAAAGAAAAGGAAAGATAGTGCAAGGTGCAAGAGAAAGAGAAAGTGCGAGGTTGGAGAGAGAAAAAGAAAGAAAAGTTTACTTGAAATGGCAAGTGTGGAAATAAATTGGGACACCCAATCATTACTTCAATTGGCAAGCATGGAAATAATTTGGAAATTGTGGGTAGGTCAAAAACCGAGAAATAGCTATCTAAATACATCGAACTTTTTTCCTTATAATCCCATCCCTAGGCAGACCTTCATTAGAGAATTAAGTTGGTAATCTAACAATATGACATGATACACAGTGCAAAGAGCTTCACAATAGTATATGCTTGGGTGGGTAGACATTCCCTGTGATGGTGTAATTCTCCATGATTACACAACATAAAGCTGGATTATTATTTCCATATGCCGTTTGCAATTACCAAAATAAAGATATTAGATACGAGGAATCCAGCATTATCTTTGCAATATAAGAAGAATCCACTAAGGCAAGGGACCATTTTTTTCTTGTATATTTAACAACACAAAAAGATACATTTCAAGGTATAGCTAACAAATAGGAAGGAAAATTTTAATTCAATTACCCAAAAAAAAGTACAGTAATGGATGCATACAATCAGGACAAGCCATACTAAAAGGGCAACAAATGAGTACAACAAGAAGGAACGGTAATGAAGTTACAAACCACGGCTGAAAATGTGCTTGCTGCTGTCATCAGCACTGAAAGAGCAACATTTCCACTGTAGGAAGAAACATATTAGAAACCTACCAATTCTGGTTCTACTAATGAGTAAAATGCAAAAGTCTGAAATCAACCTACCGGGCAATATAGGTGACAATATTACTTGCTGTCCCTGCAGTTTTCATGGAAAACATGTAAAAGAGGAAGAAAAATAGGAACAGAAAAAGTAATTTAATGTCCTATGGAAATCACTCACCACCAGGACAACAGCCAACTAATATTAAGCCAGCTGCATAATGGGATGGTAACCCTAGAAGTTTGCTGACAAAGAATCCTGACAATGGCATCACCTGCATAAGGAAAGGAGAATTAATGCCTCAACTTTGAAACCACGATAACAATTCAGATTACTTATCACAAACTTGTGAGGGGAAGATGATAACAAAGTGCTGCAGAAGCCCTTTATGGCAGATATGTGCTACAACAGGAGGACCAAGTCATTCTATCTTATGTTGATCATTCTAATATCGTAAAACTTAAAAATACATTATCTAGGTAAGAACACATTGCTTGTCTCAATAATAAAATCCCTGCGCAATAAGGATTGATGCCACAAAATTCGCCAAGCAAATGCTAGTGTATATACTAGGTGAAAAAAAAGTAGGATTTCTATTAACTTGTTGATGGCTATCAAGTTTATCATATACTCATAAATCATCTAATTACAGAGCGATAAGTAAGACTTCCTCACATATTGCAATAAGAATGAATACGCATCCCAAAGGACATGTTATATGCTAAATATCCATAATTATATAAGAGTAAAAATTATAAAAATTTGATATTGTGAAAGTATGTTTCGAAACGAATTTAACAAGACCCCACATAACTATATTTTACTTTACGTATAAATCATAATATGTGGTCAAACATGCGTGATGAATAGTTTAAAAGTTCAATTGTTGCAATATTACTAGAACGGAGGAAGTATATGCCAACAAAAGATTCACTTGTTTTAGCACCTAATTCTAATCACCTGCAAATCTGCAATAAGTCTAATATCAAACATTGAACAAAGTTTGAAGACCTATCATATAATGCTATCTACCTTGATAAAATCCTCAATGGAGATTGAAATTGGCAAACATACATACCTCAGTTTCATATAAGGATTCCTATTAGCTCTATTTTTTCAGAACAATCGCACAGATTCTCAATCCTTTTGGATTGGGGTTAGTACAAGATTGGTTCATGTTCCAATTGCTTTCAGGTCAATTACATTTTTCTATTATTTTTGCATGTCAATTCAGGTTTCGGGTTGTCAGATAATCATGTTTAACCCCCTAAACTTTTTAGCGGGTTCAAATTGGTCAGCAATATATACAATGCAAAATTTACCATCACAGGCTTCACAGCCAATACCAAAAATCTAGAAATCAAATAGAACAATAGAAGGTCTGAGATCAAAAGAAACAGACCGAGTACTGAAGAAAAAAACCGGCAATCACTTCTTTAGGCATAGAAAATGCCCCACTTAAATCATCCAAAGTAAGTGTCATGCCCATACCCAACATAGTAATTGTCAAACCCCAAATAGACATTTGTGGTGTAACCCAACTGAAAGAACTCGGCTTCAAAAGTCCAACCAAGCATCCTAAAGCAACCCATAACGGAAATGCAGTCGAAAACGCATCACTGATAGCTTCAATGATCACCCTGATCGATGGTTTGTTCCCTGCACTCAAGCTGTTCGACGAATTACCGCAGAGAAGCGGAGTACATTGATTTGTCTCATTTTTAAGTTTAGGAGTAAGAAAACGTTTTTGGGTAGCAGGAAATGAAATGGGGTTTCTCAAATTAGTCGGAAAATCATCAATTTGGGATCTTAATCTGAGTGAAGATGAAGTCTGCAACTTTGAGTGTTTGTTGGGAAGAGAAAGAAAATGGGTGATGGGATTAGCAATTGATGGCAAATGTTTGCTGCTGTGTGCGAAAGGATGTGCATTTGGTGCTCTTTGAACAGAAGAAAAAGAGGATTGCATCATTTTTTAGCTGATAATTGCAGACTGTAAAGAATAGTTAGAGAAGATGATAGGGCGCCAAATTTAGAGATTTGAAATTATTGAGCAGATTTTGAAATTGTGAAAGAAAGATTATATCAGGGGTGAGAGTTTATAGGCAATGGCGGCACAATCTAACATACTGCAAAGGCATATGTACAGTGATGAAGAAGACGAGAAGCATAGGAAGATGACAATCGAGATCAGTACTAGACATAGAAAAGTGTTTGTTTTGTAGGAGTATGAGGACGAGAACAGTTTACTACGGTCCCTACGGACATTGAACAAAAATTGTTTTTTTTTTTTTTTTAAGGTTAACAAGCCAAACAATGTAGGGGTAGAGGGGAGGGTAGACCTGGCAATCATGACTCCGACCCAAATGATCTGACCTATAATTTGAAATTGAACTGCTATTCATCGCTCCCATTTTACATACTAACGCTCCCATTTTGACTTGAATGGACAAATATGCCCTTTATGCAATTTGTGTTATAAAAAGGACTTTGTTCCCCATTTGGATACATTATAAGAAACGGTTCCCTCACATTATGACGTTGTTATCCCGAGCCTACTAAATCGGTCCCCACGACCTTAAAACTAAATCGGTCCCCACGACCACCTTAATTTCTTTTATTTAAAAAAAAACAATTAATCATAAAATTTTCCGACGGGTCTTGGGTCATGTACGGCGAGTGGAACATTCGTACGCCGGAGAATGCGTCGGAACATTCTGTAAGTTTTCTGTTTTTTTTTTTGTTTTCTGGAAATAGGACATCCGCCTAAAATATCCGGATGTCCCATGGTAGATTCGCCTAAAATTTCCGGATCTACCATGGAACATCCGGAAATTTCAAGCGGAAGGAGGGATCCACCTGAAACTTCTGGATGTTCCATGGTGGATCCGGAAATTTTAGGCGGATCCACCTAGGGACATCCGGAAGTTTCAGGCGGATGTCCCTCATAATTTTTTTTTTTAAAAAAAAAAAATGTTAATTACGTTATTTTTTTTAAATGTTAATTTTTTTTTTGGTGGTCTTGTGATTGTTGTTGTGATTAAGTATTTGATAATTAATGTAATTAGTATTGTTTTGTATTAATAAAATTATTAGTAATATGATTATTTTTTGTAACATTATTATTGTTGTTGTTGTTGTTGTTGTTGTTGTTGTTGCTGCTGTTGTTGTTGTTGTTGTTGTTGTTGTTGTTGTTGTTGTTGTTGTTGTTGTTGTTGTTGTTGTTGTTGTTGTTACTGTTGTTGTTGTTGTTATATTAATTAGTAATTAATGTTATGGTATTATTGTTTTGTATTTGTTGTTATAATTGTTTATTATTATTTTTAATATTATTATTATTATTAATATTAATATTATTATTTTATTAATTATTATTATTATTGTTATTGCTTTGTATTTATTATTATTATTATTATTATTATTATTATTATTATTATTGTTATTATTATTATTATTATTATTAGTAGTAGTAGTAGTATTAGTAATTTTTAATTATTTTTAGAGTATATTTGTTTTGTAATTGTTGTTATTATTATTGTTGTTGCTATTATGATTGTTGTTAGCAGTATTAGTTATTAATGTTAATATTATTAATAGTTGTAATATTGTTTCATAAATATTATAATTAATATTATAAAAAATTATATAATGACATAAACCATGTTTTGTTTAATTTGTATAGGATATTGATCGCGGGAGGAAGTAGGTCGTTGGGACTACTAACCCTAACCAAATTAGAAATTTATAATACCTAAACTTACACTAAACTAGTTAGTGGCAAGTAAAGGGTCGAACCCAAAAGGACTAAGTGTATTAATTTGTGCCAACTAGACTACTAGGAAAGGTCGTGAGATAGAGAGAGGTTAAACTAAACACGACTAAGAACAAACAACTAAAACTAGGGAAAGTGGAATCCAATCACATCAATGTATTAAACAACATCATACAAATAGATGAAAATGACCTCGATTAGGAACATCAACACATTTAACTCACTCTCGCACAATTAAGCATGTTAATTATCCACTAGTAGAAAAATAGCATTAGGCACCCCCCATATGGCACCGGTTCAGGCCAAACCGGTGCCAAAAATCGGCCCAAAATTGGGCGGGTTTTTAAACAAAGGGAAAAGGCACCGGTTCAACGCAAACCGGTGCCAAAAACATAAAGGCCACCGGTTTGAACCGGTGCCTTTTGAACCGGAGCCATTAAATATTAAAAAAAAACGGCCCTTTAAAACCCCCCAACCCTAACATATTCACTCCACTCACCTCCTCTCAGCCGTCTCTTTCTCTCTCCTCCTCTCATCCTCTTTCTCTCTCCTTCTCCTCCTCTTTCTCGATCTCCTTCTCCTCCTATTTATCTTCCCTCATCTCCCTTTCCTTGGTTTCCTCCTCCCTCATCTCCTTATTCGAATTTAAAAAGGTTTTTTTTTTCGATTTTGATATATTTTTCTTCGAATTCTTGGTATTTGTTTTTCGATTTCATTTCTGGGTATTATTAATGTTTTTCGATTTTGATTCATTTTTCGATTATTATTTGTTTTTCGATTTCTGAGTATTTTTTCGTTTATTTTTAGAATTTTCTGGGTATTTAACTAATTTTCAATTTTAATTTTTTTTTAATTTTCTAGGTTTTAATTTTTTTTGATTTTCTGGGCTTTGATTTAATTTTTTCTTCATTTTTTCTGGATTTTCAACTCATTTTCGATTTTCATTTTTTTGATTTTCTGGGTTTTAAATTTTCGATTTTAATTTTTTCGGTTTTTTTTTTTTTAATTTTCTTGGTTTTCAACTAATTTTCGATTTTAATTTTTTTTTATTTTTTTTAATTTTCCGGGTTTTAATTTTTTTCGATTTCAATTTTTTTAGATTTTCTGGGTTTTAATTTAATTTTTTCTTCATTTTCTGGATTTTCAACTATTTTTCGATTTTCATTTTTTCGATTTTTTGGGTTTTAAATTTTTGATTTTCTGGGTTTTAAATTTTCAATTTTAATTTTTTCGGTTTTTTTTTTAATTTTCTGGGTTTTAAACTAATTTTCGATTTTAATTTTTTTTATTTTTTTTAAATTTTCTGGGTTATAATTTTTTTCGATTTTAATTTTTTTCGATTTCCTGGGTTTTGATTTAATTTTTTCTTCATTTTCTGGATTTTCAACTAATTTTTTATTTTAATTTTTTCGATTTTCTGGGTTTTAATTTTTTTCGATTTTCTGGGTTTTAATTTTTTTCGATTTTTTTTTAATTTTCTGAGTTTTTAACTAATTTTTGCAGCTAATACATTTTAATTGATTTTTTTGGATGAACTAATTGGCGCAGGTATACTATTTGCTTTGCAAGCCCAAAATATTGCACATAATCGAAGAATCAAGAATCAATAATCAAGAATTGTGATGTTTGGGGATTTTTTTTATTGTGATGTTGTAATATTTTTTTTTTTGGTTATATTGTAGTTCTTTTTTATTTATTAATATGTGGTAATTGTTTAATTTTATAATTCGTATATTGTAATTTTTTTCTTGATTATATCCTGTAAATTTTCGGTTATATTCAATGATATTTGATTAATATGTTGTTCTTATTTATTTTAGTCAATTTGATTTTTAAGTGAAAAATGACAAACAAACAAAAAAAATATATATATATATTTTTTGGGGCTTTTTGGCACCGGTTAACTGGTGCCTTTTTAAACCCCTTTTTGGCACCCCTCACATTGGAACCGGTTCAAACCGGTGCCTTAGGCCGGGTTTGAACCGGTGCCAAATTCATTTTTTCACGTAGTGATCCTACTAAACTAATTCACTCTCGTGCAACTAGCCTAGCAAAGGTATGAAAGAATTTAGGGCTCTCAACCAACTCACTCTCGCACAACTGATTGTAAGCACAATTAAGAGCATAGAATCGATTAGCTAGAAAGATTCTAATCCATAAAAGCATCACCCATACACAATAATCAAGAAACGATTTCATACTAATCACAATCAATCATTTAATTCATTAATATAACCTTCACCCAATTTCCTATAACAAGACCTAAGCTAACATAATGAAGAAAGACATGGAAAACAAGGTAAAATAAGAATAAAAACAAGATTAAACAAATAAACTAATTAATCTACTCAAATCAACAAACAAAAAGCATAAAACTAATACTTAAGCAAAGAAATAAAGATGAGAGAAAGTTAGCTCATTTAATAGATGAGGAGAAGTTCCACAAAGTTGCTTCTTCAACCACTCAAAAACTCCATGGAAATCCAAGCTTTCTCTCTATACACTACTCCTAAACTAACCCTAAGAGAGAGAAAATAAAATTAGGCTAAACTAATCTAATCTATCTAAAATAAAATGTTGATTGAAAAGTCCTTAGAAAATAACCCAAAGAGGGTATTTATAATACAAGCTAAAATAATATAAAAGAAATTAAAAAGAAATAAAACTAAACTAAAAACCAAAAAAAACAAAACTACAATAAAATAAAATAAAAGAAAATAAAAAGGAAAAAGAAACCCCAAAAATTCCTACAATTCCCACCAAACCCCACGAATTATCAGACCCCCCAATTCCCCTTCTCTTCCTGGCTGCTCTGGACTTTCATCACCATCACGCATCATCTTAACCCTTCATCGAAAATCATCATCAAGCATCATCACATCGCAGCCGTTCGATTTTCATTAAAAGTCACGCGCGAAGCTTGTGAAATGGTTCGGTCGAACCATGGGTTGGTACGGACGAACTACGGGGTTGGTTCGGTCGAACCATGGGTGTGTTCGACCACACCTCTTCAAATTACAAAACATCAAAAGTTTCTGACTCGAACTTTGACCGTACTCCTTTGGTTTGCTCGAACTTGATTAATTGCTATTTGCTCTGATTTTGGGCGCTTGATTGAAGTGAATTGTTGCGATTTGTTGGCTGCTACTGTTGCGGTGGTTTTGGCGGCTGATGGATTGCGAGTTGGCTGGGATTGGTGGCGAAATGGGAGGCGCAGCAGGTGAGGTTGGTTTGTGGTGTTAGTTGCGTTGCTATTGTTCTTATTGGGGGATCTAATTGAGATAGGTTTGCTGCTGTGAGTTTTCAGTATGGGAGGTTGAAGATGGTGAGTGACGGTGGCTGTGATGCGGGCTGCGAGTAGAGGTGGTTATTGCGGTGGTGGCTATAGTGGTTGTTGCGGTGGTGGAGGATTAGGGATGTCAATGGGGCGGGGCGGGGCGGATGTTGGTCTTCCCATCCCCATCCCCACCTAATATTTTCATCCCCATCCCCGCGGCGGATCCAATTTTCATCCCCATCCCCGCCCCACCGGGTACAACTCCAAAACCATCCCCGCCCCACCCCCACTTGGATATCCATCCCCACCTAATCCCCACCAAAGACCTGCCTAATCCTCACCCAAGATCCACCTAATATCCGTATCTCAAATACACAATCTTACATAATTAATACGAATCATAAAATAAAACATTCTATACACATTTTTGTGTTATAATATAAGTGTCGTACAAAGTATTATAATTAATATTGTATTTCATGTAATTATTTTATAAATAGAATAAAAGTATGTAATTTTGCTTTAAAAGATATATAGATGTGGGTATGAGGTGGGGATGGGGCGG